GTAGGATCTTCCCCAGTGATCGGAACTTTCCTTCACTTTCTGTCGACCATACTACCACTGATCTAGTCCTCCGGGTGTTGGTTGCTTCATATCACTCTGGCACAATCCTCCTCCCCAGCGTGTCAAATCGCGTACACTGACTCTAACACTACTCCATTCGTTCACAAGTTTAGAAGACTATAAACGACTTCAGAAGTACTAACAATAACATTACAAAATGATTCGCACAATGCGACAACTATAAAATTAACCAACAATTACATGAATTGGAGCCCACTCAATTACTTGACACAAATATATGTACAACCAATACATCAAATGTTGTGGATTCTGCTTTGACGAGCTACCCTTGAAAAACAACTGTAGGACTTGCAGCAGTAAGCCTATATTCCTTCCCAGGTTCACTCCTTAAATTGGAAAATCGTCGTTCAGTTCATTTGCCGACCTCCTTTTATCATCTATATCCTCAACTCTGAATGGTAACACGCCCATGACATTGTATCGTGGAATGCAGATGATTAACAAACACACGACGTATCTGACCAACCAAGCGTAGACACAGAGTAATTTAAATCAAAGTAACATTCAAATAGTAACCTGGAACCTGTAAGGCCTTTATTCGTGCAAGTCAATTACACAGTTGGGTTATCCTCACTAAACTAACCATTGACATTCGTCCTTTCAAACGGACCGATACTAGCATAGTCCCAGCATAAGACACATGAGTTCATGTACCTCCCTTTCACTGTGAGTGACAACACCAACGACGACTGACTGACACAAGTTGATTTACTTAGCGGTGCGTCAGAAGCTGTGGCTGTTCGACCTTTAGAATTACCGCCCCTGCTAACTTTTATGATTAGCTCCAGTTTAGCAATAACATCTGTCGATAGGTGGACTACACGCGGATCATTTACACTAACGGTCTCACGAGTATTCATACCCTCTTCAACCGCATCTCTCTTTAATTCTACTCCACGTTCAAGTTATACAGAACCTTTGTTCAACTCAGTAGTAGTATGCCTTCCGCTCATCTCATCATGATCAGCCAAAGACAAATATGCACTGCCATGATCATTATCACAAGTATTCACTTTACCGCTGTTCGCGCGAGTGAATTCATTTTCAACCTCTTTAATAACAGCAGTAGATGACGTGGGTTCTTCGTCATGAATCCTTAAAGGTTTTATACCTCACTCTGACCAGCAATACCTTGTAAACTTGTGGAGTCAGAACTGGACTCCGAAACTGTATATATTTCGCCACTGTAATCCATTTAATGCAGCATCAAGCTTACAAAAATGGCATGCATTTCATGTAAATTCACCTGTTTATATGAAAACATATTGTTGTCAGTGTGGTTTTCGATGGACTTCAACTGACAAAACTAGGTTAATCGATAAAAAATAACGGAGCTCCTCCTGTCTTAACTTTGTTGATTGGTCTGCGGATTTAGGAACAGTATATGCTGAGCTCGGGCAACAAATAAAGGCCAAAAAATTAGCTGCAGTACTAGATGTGTGGAATTCATCGTTATATCTTCAAGTAGCCAAGTGCTGTTACTTAGAGATATTCCGAGGTGTTTCTCTACTTCAGGTAGACAGTGCCTACTAATCACATCAAATTAGGAGCCTGTTATTCGATAGAAAACTTTGTAACCTTTAAACTGAATCCGCAGGAAAAAAATCGAGCGCGCCTAAAAAGCGTGAAGGAATTGTCACAAATACTGTCAGCCTCTACAAAGACGTCACATTCCCAGTACCACGCAAACCGTATAGACAGCCATCACTGAAGGGAAATGAGCCTCACAGAAAGTCGCAGGTGAAGACTGAAACCTACATTGTTAGTTATCAACAATTTTCAGTCTGCCACTGACACAAATAACACCTACTGTTCAAACTGGGAGAAAGTGGGTGAAATTCTTCAAGGTACATGCCCATAAGTTTTGTTTACACAGTAACTGAAATAAAAAGGGAATTTCCAAAACAATAATTCCTCAGCCAAGACATAAAGTGAAATTCAGAATAACCGCGTCCAAACGATGAAGCCTTCCATCGAAAGTGGCACTGATCAAGTCAACAGAAAGCACTCAAACCGTCAAGAGATCCTTTGGGTATTTTGGCGAGGCATATGACACAAAGCATCACGCCACACTATTTATGAAGCAAGAAATTTCAAAAATCACTGGTAGCCTGAATTCTACGGTGACATAATTCGTTTTCTGTGGGGAACAGAAAGTAAGGATCAACATCGAATTCTTTTCGTGGATGAGGGCGCTAAGAAACATCCCCAAGAATGCTGTGATTAGCCGCATACAAACTAGGCCTGATGAATCCCTCATTGTTCTTTATTCCAACCTGAGGAACACAGTGGTATGCCCTGCCGACCAAAGTAACAGGTGTCTTCAGGTAGTGTTTCTATGTGTGCTGTAAAACGTTTCAGATATGTGACTGTCAAGGCATACCACACCAACTGCAACAGATGCTAAGACGAGACCTAAAGACAAATAAGCACTAACTTGCAACTTGTGGCGTTAGAATGCATTCTGCACTGCTCTGAATTTTTCCTAAGACCGCCAATCACACGCACACCGCTATAAAGACATTTTTTGTAAGGTCCAGATTATAAAACCGAGCTCAGGCAACTAATCATCGAATGAAAAATAACCTGTACACATCAAAAGAATTCAATGGACAACCGTATGCATGACTTCTGGTATCGTTAATATATCATAATAGGAACATGTAAAGGGGCCGGATACCCTCTACTTTTCATAAGAAGACAGGGGATCGAATTCTAGATAGTGACAGCTGATTTTCGACTACACCGGTTTTTACTTTCTATCCAACTAGGCGGAAAAATTTCATTCGAAAGTTGAAAGTCTTGGGGACAATAATCTCGTTGTGGAGTGCAAAGAGGAAGTATGTAACACTGCCTGAATGGCCTTTGACTCGTTCTCTTGCTTACGTAAAGCAGAAATAATCTTCATGATTGACGTGTTACAATGCATACAACCCGTGAGAACTTTGATTTCATGTCATAAATCAACCTAACCCGGCTACCAGGTGTCCCACAACACATCTTCAACAGTATTCGCTCATGTAGAGCGAGAAACGTTGGTTGTTCGATGCGTGTTTTATCCAGAAGAGTCTGTACCAGTAGGAAATTCCTCAGAATTATGGTCCACAACATTCATCACTGAACATTGGATGCTGATCCTCACTCTATGAGTCGATTTGTTTAGCTGACGGCCTCCGGTCAAGCATCAACGCCATTTGTAAACCGCCGCATCACGTTCATTCTTGCACGATCCCTAGCTAGTTAAGCAATCATCTCGCACTCCGACTTGGTCCTGAAATATAACTCGTAATTTGGATGATCAATTCTGGTGTCTTGCTTTGCCTTAAGTCTACGCGGAACGAATACTTTACAAGTTGTGGATAGTAGATCTTGCTTTAGTATACTTCGTACTGTCCATCAACGTCAATAAATTTACCTTCTAAAAGTCAAATAACATTATACCACTTGGCTATGCAGAGGTAACAGCCGATCAGTAAAGAGTGCCATAACTGAACATATACATTTAGTCAACACTAGTCATTCAATATGCACGGAGAATTTAAAGTTATCTACAGGGTCAAAAGAAGCCTCCCAAAAGCAGTTGGCCCCCGTGTTTTTGCATTGCTGAGGCCTTGGCGATCCGGATAGAAGTCCCCGGTTTATGCACACAGAAGATACTTCTCCACTCCCTCCTTCTACCCTGGGTAAAATCCCAAGTTCCACGACTTTGTTATAAATGTTTCGTTTTCTTTTTTTGTTTTTTGAACTTTTGTGTGGCATCTGATTACCATTTTCTTCTTAACTAACCTTTATTTACTCTTTCTAACTATTAGACAATTTTTTGGACGTGTCCCTATTCACATTAAACTTCATGTTACACAACCCTTGTCAATACTTACCAAACTTCAACCCCCCAAGTTACAATTTTGACCATTCATCACACTTCAGAAACATTTTGATGACATAGACAGTAACCCTAACTAATTTTTTCTTTGACAAACCTAATGTTCACACACAAAATAATAACGTATCAATGCGATTGTATAGCTAAGTGAATAAATTCTCCAAATAGAGACTTCGCTGAACTTTGTCAATTTTATACCTAATAAATTATTGCAGCCTTCACCAGATGAGCTAAAAAATCAAACCCGAATAATACGGTTACAACAATAATCATTCGCTTCGTAAGCTGTTGTAAAAAGTAGAGCCATTGGCATTACAAAAGTTGGTTAACAGCGTGGATAATATCTCAAATGTTTAGTAACTTACAGGGAATAGCAGAATAATTGAGCCTGTGTCAACTGTGATCACATTAATGCAGCACACTTTTCCATGTCAGCAGGTCACGAGACTGCATACTTCCATATGATGAGGATTTACTATGACGCAGAAAACCGGCTGATGTTGAGCTGAGATATGGCGATGAAACTCGTCCTAACATACTTCACGTACCATGATTCCAACAATAGTGATGTAAAACCGTTGCCTGAAAATGAAAAGACGGATGCTAGACTGGGGATGACGATGACCAAGTGACGTATAGTGATAAAAAATAAATTGAAATCTTCCCGGGCTCTCCTTGCTCTGTTCTGTGTTGGCTCCTATCATCCAGCGGACCCTGTTTCTGTCCATGATATGCTTTCAACCAGATGAATTGAAATTTCTCCCAGAAAGTGACACTAATGAATCACGAACTACCGGGGTTGTCAGTGGCTGAATGACACGTCAGGTACATGATTCTATAAGGTTAGCGTGTTACACTGCTTGTGTTCCCTAAACGAGGTCTTTGCTTATGGAGCTCAGTATTGTATATTGGGATTGTCGTGTTTTAATTCGACTTTATCATGTTGGAAATAAGCATTAATAAATAACTGTCAGAGAACTTAGGACTTTGTACGTAATAAATAAGTCAGAAAGTGAATTTAGATCAGCACACGTATATTGAACGTTTGTTGAGCTACGTACTTTGGTGCGATACACTTTCAAAGTAAGCAACATGGATAAGGGTGCTGTACAACCTAAGCTTGCCAGGGTAGGTTATATGTAGTATTTTATGCCTAATATACTCTCCAGGTTAAGGCAGTTGTAGGTAGAACTGGATCACAAGGACAGTGTACGCAGGTTCGCGTGGAATTTCTGGACGATACAAACAGAACTATTATACGAAACGTTAAAGGTCCGATTCGTGAAGGCGATATTTTAACTCTTTTGGAGACCGAAAGAGAAGCCAGAAGATTACGTTAATGTTTTCACAATAAAGGGATGTATATGACGTGATTTGTTCTGGTTAAATCTGTGTGTTTGCGTGTGGTGGCTAAAACTTCGCCGCTGGTTATCATCTGTTTGAAACCAGCACATTGAGAGGTGAGCTGATGACTCATGCTAATAGAACAGTTTTTATAGAATCACGTTTCACCGTTACTTTTATTGATTGTATGTTATGGTGCCATAATAATTTATGCAGCTGTCAAAATGATAACTTATCGATTAGGTTAGCACATCAGTATTGGTACAAGAATACTGTTAAGACAAAATCCCTTCCATTGGGGAGTGATAACCTTGATGCGGGTGTTCTGCTGATGAATTGCACGAAATTATAGTAGGGATTCCAAAGGCCGTAATATTGTCAGGGTGTATGCTTAACAAATTGGTATATGACTAGTCCACCATCTGATCATGTGTGTCGATCAGTTATTGCTAAGAAATTCTCACTTCATTAGTCTGACTAATATTTAGATGTGCAGTATTGGAAATTACACTGAATATGGTCACAACTTTATAGGAAGAAGAATAGAACGAACTACAAGAAATGAGAATGTTGATGCCCAAGTACATGAAGGGTGTCGAGAATTTGATGAGTAGGGTTGAATAGTGTGGGTACGTCTGCGCCATTAGAATCAGTTCTAGGCATTGGTTCTTACCGTCTTTAGGACCCTAACTAGCAAGTCTACTTCACTCGAACCTACAGTCAAAGACTTTGAGGGGTAATGCCGTGGTTTGAGACATCACCACTAACTGTCTTCCAATCTAACCTTGTGTCAGTCGTCATTACTTGATGACCCGCGTAGAACATGCTTTCCAAGTAGGTCTGAAAGAACCGAAATATAGACTTGATGATAACTCATCGCACGGTGTTTAAAGTACTCCACTAGTATGCTTTCGTTGTGATGGCGTGCTAGTCAATGAGTCTGCCCATGTTTCCGACAGCAACTGTTGCTCTGTATATTTCCTTGAAATTGTTTATGATGTTTAAATCCTCCCAGAAAATGTGGATATTGTCGATGGATTTTTACACCGATGTTCGTACTGCGTGATAAAAATTGTAGTTGTGAAGTCACGGTTAATAAGTGTGCTCATCGTTACTATTTTTTAACAATAGCCTAAACAGCTTGCCTGGTTCGATTTGTACAATAATTTTTTGTCTTGTCCCCATCCATACATTAAAAGTATCACAAAGAACTCAGCACTTGATGGATACTTATGTTTCAAGTCTTGTACGACAAACTAGGAGGAGGGATTCGAACAGACGTTTTACGTTGCAACGGTAGGGCTTGGAATGTCGCTGGTATCAGGCAAATAAATTCCAACATAACTGCCTCCAGGTGAAGGATCTGGCATTCAAAACTGCTTGATGACCTACCTGGCGAACGGTTAGAAACCTTATAAATTGATGCCTTGTTTCACTGGCTATAGTCAGCGTCTATGGATACTTCGCTTTGTGCTTCATTTTGTTAAGCAGATGAGGCCAAACGGCTTAAGCACCACAAAATGTTTTTTTTTGGGACAGCAAGTTCTGAAGTCAAACGAATTTTCCAATTTTGATAAATACATTTTTAAGTTGGTTGTTGTATTCACAAACACTCCCAGTTTAGTTTTTATTTGTCATTAAATGCTGTCTTATCTAGACTTACCCTCTCAACTAGGTGCCTGTTCATTGGTTATAGTTACTTGGATACGCTCATATATGTCAGAAAGAAGCCGATTAACGGAACTAGAAAGCATCATGAGCTATGCCACTTTTTTGGCACAAAGTATCAAAAGTACTGCATATATTTACAGCAAGTTAACTGGATACTTAATGTGACTACGTATCTGAATGCTTCTTAAGAGATAATAACTCAGCGGAGTAGTTGTCATAGCTGTTAATGGAAAGTCATTGTTGCTCATGAACGATACTTTTTTAGTTTAAATAGTAACGCCTTTAATTCAGTTCCAGAAACTTTGTATCAAATAGCACTTATCGGTGAAAAGTAGAATAAAGCTCCAAGTGATGAAAGGCAATGCGATTTGTCCACAGTAAAACATAATGTAGCCGAAAAGATAAGTTAGGTAATCTATTCAGTTCATCTGTATTAGGAATTTTTGAGGAAATGGAAACGGTACTTGTTTTGGGCTTTCAAGATGCATTGTAAACACCAAGCTTTCCATTCCATTTTACTTCGCTTCAATTTCTTGTTCCATGTATATCTGGGAGTGTTTACCGACTTGTAGTTCCCAATAGAACATCGAGTAGAATAACGAGGTAGATAATCTGTTGGTTCTGAATACGGCCGATTGCATTCATTTACTGATTATGTTTCGGCTTGAATGTAGACAAGAAGCTAATATATCCCGGGTATGAATAATTGCCATATAGGTACGAAGTATGCGCGAAGAATTTCAGAAAGTTGTTCAGAGTGTTTCCATCAACTTAATTTGCAGCTGTAGTAGTATCTGGTTTGAATTCAATGTGTCAGTAGCCCCTAAGATATTCACGTTTTCTGTGAATTCACTATCATCAGGCGTGTTCGTAACTAATGTGGTTCAGTAATATCTTACAAGTGGCAAGAAAGGGACCAGGTATAACCGTTGATGAACACCAAATTTCATTCTTGATCTAATTGTGGTACTTCACTTATGTGCGTAAGTCATTTGCGATTAAGAAGTCGAATCTGGGATTTTACCACAGGCACGTAGACAACACCTAGAAATGTCGGTCTGTGAGTTATCTGTGTGTTTGATTAATTGTCAGAAGACTCTTTTGCTTTATTTAAAAACTAAGTTGTAGAGAAGCGAATGTGGCTGTGGTTTGACGGAGAGATTTCTGTTCACTTTCCGAATCTTTATGTAATAGTTCTACTGTTAGAATTATAGGGAATTGTGCTTATGTTTTAATTAATGCCATGTAGAAATAGCAGTGTGCGTCGGTGATATAGCGGTAGAATGCTCGCCAACCACGCACGTGGTCCGGTGATTAATCACCGGCCGACGCACTCCTTTACCTTGCTAAGCCAGTAATAAGACAGGTAAAGGGGGAACGTTGGACATGAGGTTATCAACCCATCCCGTAAAATGAACACCACTGCTACTGAAACTTCAGGCCTCTAGCTTGAATCCCTACGTTTCACTGGAAACGTAAAGGAATAGAAAAAAAAAGAACTAGCATTAATACACAATTACATTGTTGGTAGTAGTAACTGTATTGCACCTTGTTGGCTTTTTGCTGACTACAAAAGGTATTAATGAGTCGAAATCCTCATGTATCGAGTTTATTTCTTCATGGTAAATGTTACGTTGTATCCGGCGTCATTTTAAACTTCTATTATAATACTCAACAGAAGTGCGGTTCATCAGTTTAAGCAGTTGTCACTCAATTGATGGACTCCAAACATATAGCGCCTACTTTGGTCTGAATCAACGGGTGGTATTACAAACTCCCACATCTCAACTTTCACTCAGTTCTGCACGTGGAAGTGTGTACCAGGTGACTTAGGTGCATTGTATTTGAATTAGATACTGCGGAATTCTGAAGTGCTAGCTCACAACTCTAGATTAATTCTAAAGACCTCGAGATACCCCTCAAACACTGTAAAGATTCACGTAGCTATGACTGATTGGAGTCATGGTGATTCCAAGCTTCCGATGACCACAGCTAGACACACACGAAAGCACAAGATCCCGCAAAATTGTATGATGAAATAGAACAAAGAGAATTAACAGTTGACAAGTGTTTTTGTCCCCAGTTCTATAAAAGTAGCTTTGAGGTGTGTCAGTTGGTCATTATACGCAGAAAGATCTTTACATAACTGCGTAGTTGTTCAAGTTACCAATTACCATATCTGTACATCAAGTGAGAGGTAACCAAGAGCTTAACATGATATAATCAAAGGTAATTGAGAAGGGTACTGTTGAAGAGAGAGAAGGTGTGTGGACACGCACCGATCAGTGCGATATGTCTTGAAATATATCATCTGGGGTTTCTACCCTTAGATTCTGGTAATCACACGGATTTCAACTACATGCACAGAGTTCAAGTCGATAACATCAAGTGCATTGGTCAACTTAGTCCACCTTCCGATGAAATAATATCAAGGGAGACATAGACAATAGGAACTTGGAAGTCCTTCGACTAATACTCCGGTCAGATGGGTGAGGGCTTATTAAATCCCTTAACATCAGACGACCTCATATACATATATAGCGTATTAGGACATCTGATCCTTAAGTTCATAAATTTAACCTGTTCCACAATGTTTCCCACACATCTAAGTACACTGATGAAAATGTAAGCTGAAATAATAACAGTACTGATTGGGTTAGGTTCCGACTTTACAGACTTGACAACTTAGAATGTAATCCTACAAAATATTTTCAAACTACAGTGAACATTCACAAAATCTCCCAACAATAAGAATAGAGAAGACAGTTTCTTTAAAGCTTGGGATAATGTGTATGTGATCAGATACAAGTAGGAAAGAATGCTAAATAAAAGTGAGTAAACGAAAAATCAGCAAATCATCAGTAGTTGTCAGTATACTTACAAAAATCATTTATATACGTATGCATAGTAAAATAAAAATGATCTGAGATTACAAATGTGACAACAGTAAGAGAGTTTTTTTTCTACCCATTTCTTAACTCCCTATTAGCATATACAATATTATCTTCATTAATCTTCCGTTCATTATCATCAATCTGTTCATCATTTCCATAAGAATCAAACTCATCATTTATTGGTTCTTCTTCCTGTTCATCATTTTCTGGTATAGGATTCGATGTAGGCTGATGCATTAACATTGCAGCTAGTTCTTGTTTTGCATGCTGTTGATTCAATTCTAACATTTGTTGTAATGCATTCTTAATGACACGAAAGTTAAACTCTATTAAACCTAGAAGAAAGAAACAAAAAACAAGAAAATAGTGACTTTAACATGATATTTTGCTTAAAAAAAGTGTACAGCGTACATCATTAGAATTTTATTAATGAGATTTAATGTTCATTACTCACTTGTATACAATTCGATTTATGTTGTTCAATACACTAGACGAGTTCATTTTTTGTCTACAACATCATTACATGTATCGGTTGCCAATAATAAGACGTCGACAGCGTTGTGTTGCAAACTGCACACTCTACTGCAGTTTCTATTGAGATTCCATTGTGGGTAAGATTTTATTTTGATAAAGTCTCACAGTGTTAAACAGTAATATTTACTGATGACGTTTCGAGAACAGTTTGTTGCTCATAATCATATAATATCAGTAAGAAATGTAACTTCCAGGTACTTGATAAGCAAATCATAATTCGGATTTGTAACCTCGCCTATTTTACTAGCTTGTTAGTTTTCTAGCCGACCCTAAGCCCAGGAAACAAGAGATGGTTGGGTGTGAGAGAGGCTAGCGATCCTACCCCCAGAAAATCAGTCGAACTACTGCAGACACCTCAAAACACAATACAAATATTAAAAATATAAAAACGAAATTTATTTTTCGTTGGAATTGGAGAGGCAAAATGACACTCGCTAGTGAAAGCCTTTGGGAAGCCAGTCAGCCGATGTGTCTTCTTTCGATGAAAGCAAAAATAAGAATGGAAACGTGAAATGTTGGTACAATTTACGAAGCTGGGAAGCAGAAAAACTTGGTACAATACGGCACCAAGACGATGTGCCATACAATAATAATAAAACAACATAGATTAAAAGTAAAAATATGAGTAGGGAATGGATAAAGAACTTCATCTGGAAGTAAAACAATCATACTTAACAAGTCCAAACATTATTCGTCAACTATTATCAGGAAGGGAAGAAAGAAGGACGTCCAACAATGACGTGAAGAAGATCATGCAATGAGGAGGTGGGAGACTATGGACGGTCGCGGGTCCAGCTTAAGAGGACCTGAGAAAATAGAACAAGGCAGAGGTGTGCTACTGAATCCCTGTGTTCCACTCGGAACCCAAGGGAACAATAATAATAATAATAGTTCGGACTTTTAAACCCCTGACGAGAAGAACCGGCTGGCTACATTTTTCGGCATATAGGCTTCTCAGTCATGTACCCAGTTGACTAGTCAACCATCTTTCATTGTTATTTAGTGTTTTCGATGTAGGTTGTCCAAAATGGTCAGTTCCCTTTAGTGAATAGCCCAATAAAATTAATAGGAGGGCATTACAAGTACCCATATCGATATTAGTCCCGAAGAGATGGTTTTTATGTTTTGATCATCACATCAATAGCTGCCAATAGGTACATATGTAATGACGGTTTACTCGTACAGCGGATTTTGTTCTTAATCTGTTTTCGGATCCATAAGAAAGTCTTGCATCTACAGGTCCAGATGAGACTGCGAAAACCTACTGGTTTTTATTAACTTTTAACTACATGGCAGCACTAACTTCCTCATTACTGCTCTTATGCCAATCAATTTTTTCGGAATGACTATAGTTCTCTCGCTGAATAGACACTCAGTCTTATCCTCCCTGAATGTATACTGAATGTCCTTTTGTGTATTGCTGGAAGTGTGTGAAAGCTTTACACTTCCAGGATAAGCGACATATCTCCAGCCTCCATTGTTTTTACTTTCCGTTATTACCTCACAACACAGTAATACGAAATAAGTAATGCAAAATGATTAGGTAAACACAATCGATTATATAAATAATATACATACCCATTTTTTCCAATGATTCTTCATACATTAAACAAGCTAATGCCATATACTGGTTGATTCCACGTAAATATAATGCTCTGTCATTGTTTAAAATAATCGTAGCACCAGTTTGTTCAGAAACTGGAGGATCAACAAAATTAGATCGAGGGCTGAAAAAAAGAAACGGGACTGGTCTGAATTCGGTAGACGGATGATATGGTTTGAATGAGCACCATTTGGACACAAGTGAAAATGAAGCATTCTTGATGCAACAGGCCACATATGGCAGCATAAAATCATGAAAACTCAACTTTATGTGTTTACCTTTGAAGCCTAGATATGATTATGAGGCATCCTATACTGTCAAAGACTAGCAAGAACTTTGTTATTTTTAACATTATTTTATTCCTTTACCTTCCCAATGGAGCATACGGCTTCAGGCGACATCTTTGAAGTTTCAGCAGCAATACTATTTTTATTTTTACGGAGTGTGATTGCTAGCCCCAGGTCCAACCTTCCGTCTTTACCGATCCTATTGTGGTGAGAGATGGTTGCTAGCCAAATTGTTTGACAGTAATTGAGGTCAAGGTCAAGATGGACAGGCGGATACAGAACTGACACAGCCACAAGAGATGCAAGGTTAACTTTGTGTGAGAAACAACCAATCAACAGGCTGTATTTTCTACTAACATTAACCTACAATAATGTACATCAAAATCTATAAATATGTGTTGGTTTTCCGTAATAAACGTTCTGTTGCCTGGCCCTTGTCTTCTGTTGTTACACTATTAAGGGGTTATGGATGCATCGGCCGAGGATCGAACCCCGGACCATGTGAGGCATGGCTGGTGAGCATTCTGCCGCTGTGCCACCGACGCACAGCAAGAACTCTGAAGCCATCAGAATAAATACCTCATCAAGATTTTCATAATATATACATTGCTTCTGTCGTTACGTCAAAATAACAACTTTACAATAAGCGCAGTTGTTAAGGTGTTATAAACCCAGTCATTTAACTACTTATACTTAATTCAAATTAAGCGGTGTACATCGTTTATTTTTACAGGGAATGTGAAGGAAACTACCGAAAGTGATTAAAATTTTATGTAAATTTAAGGTTACGTATAGTAGGGGAGGGGTAAAGCCTAAGGCAGATCTAACTTTGAACAATAATCTTCACTGATACATTTTACGGGATTTAATTTATGCAGAACACATAGTCTGTTGTTTACTAAACAGTCGGCGCAAGTGTATTCCACTGTGATGTATAACAAAACAGACTATGATAAGAATTTAACACTCTGCATATCAGTTCATAGATTGCTTCATAGAACATCAAGCAGAATATTACACGTTATGGTCACGATACATTACTGTCATTTAAATCAAGACCATTACGAGCATCCAAGTGAGTCGGTGGCGCAGCGGCAGAATGCTCGCCAACCATGATGTGGTGTAGGGTTCGATCACTGGCCGAAGCACCCCCGCGCTTAGCTGGTAGTAAGTAATAGACGAGGGAAGATTGGGTGTAAAACTAGCGAACTTACCCCATAAAAATAAAATGACTGTCCCTTGTCGACCGCATTCGTTTTTTAAGAAGTGTTGTGAGGTTATAAACTTTGGAGGTACTTTTAATTGCACTTAACTCTGCGTAAACAACAACCCTAACATATTTTTATTCCTGTCTGACAAACCTAATATACACATACATACAAAAACAATGATATATAATTGCAATTGTACAGCTAAGTGAATGAATTCGCCGGCAAAAAGAGACTTTGCTGACCTGTGTGTGTTTTGTTTTTCATTAATGTCTGGATGGGGATTATTCATGAATTAATAAATTGTTCTCGAAGTGGAATCATCGGTAATTAATAGTGTATATTATATAATGTATATATATGTTTATGTTTATCAAATAAAATTATTTTATGATGGAATTATAATCTGCTTGGGTGCCTGAATTCAGTGAAATTTAATCAAGGTGTAACCGCAGATACAAGAGTATCCAGTAACGGAATTGTTAATTGGCCACTCGATGTACAGATGTAGACAAAATATATCTGGCGTATATTTAAATCATGATTTACACATGTCTTCCACATTATGCCTCTTTGTCTTCCTTTCATGTTTTCTATGTTTTTTTCACAAGAAACCTTCGTTTCTTCTCTTCGCTAATCAATACTCCTGCAGGTAATACACATATTTATATATATGTATCTATATACTACTTGCAAACCTTGTCAGTAGTATGAGTCATAGATAAAGAAGCAAATGTACTTTCAACTATTTCAGTATTAATGATGACTGTGAAATTTCAAATAAACAGTCATGACATGTGCTACTGACAAAATTCTGTTAGTAGTATATTGTGCGTAATATCCTTTTGCGAGGATATTCAATAGCAGAGCGACGGACTAAGTTGTTCAGATGAGGAATATAGGAACCCTGTGAAACAATATAGAAGGCACAAAATGAGGGCAAAAGATGCACAAAATGAAGAGTTTGTGCAAGCGGTAATTTTAGTGTACAGTTTGTACATTCTACTACGACTGTTCACCATTTTGCCGAATAAAAAATCTGCTACCAAATATTACCATGTTCTGTTGACATACACACTTTTTTCCTAAACAATAGACGCATTATTTCTTATCAAAAATAATATTGAGGAGAGAGTTGAAAGAAAAATTACAACTCTTATGGAACCAAATATGGGAACACCAAGTGCACAGCTAATTATGATTGGGTTAACTAAAACATGCGAGTATACAGTAACGTTAAGTGTGAACACGAGAAGTGTTAAAACAGAATAAAATAAAAGATATTGGCTGTTGTTGTATGTGTCACTATATCAGTTTTATCACATTCATAGGACTCACATGGTCTTATTAATACCCATACTGTCATGAATATATAATGCTTAGAATGCTGAATTACTTACTATTGATCTAACTTCCCTGAGTTCTCGCCATAAATGTGCCACAGTCAGCGTTTTTATCATTGGGACTGGAGGATACACTGTAAGTCATATTTTACCTGATCTGCAAATCCGACATTTGACCCTAACGCAGATCCAAAGCCACATCAATGGCTGTTTATTAATGTATGTAATCCAGTCTAAATATAGTGGTTTATAGCTCAAGCAAAATAACCATGTAATTGGTTGTAATTTTGAGGCAGATATATCCTCTCCCACGAAGCAATAAATTCTCGCGTTCTCAGTTAGTACTCTTTATGTTTTCATGGTAGGAATAGTGTTCGGACGATCAGTCGTACATTGTTTAGGGTTGGAGTAACCATAGGAACAAGCCCGAACCTTAACGTTATTTAAAATCATAACAGTTTTCAATTTTAAATAGTGAATAAAAGAAACAACTTTGCATGAATGCTTCCAAAAAATAATGTTTGATTTTAATACTGTGGATTACACCTAGATGTATGAAATAACCCTCAGATAAGCAGTCGAGCCAACTTAGAGAGAAAGTATTGTTGCGGATACCGTTAAGCCTTATGTCATCTAGTACCAGTGTGGTATGTGCTACATATTGACAGAACAATCACAATCAACGGGAGAGATTTGACGGAGGTTACGTCCTGGCTACACTTATCCAGGAAACATTGTTTCAACCACAGGCAGTCGGCATGGATGAAGGTGTCAAAGGAAGAATCGGTAGGACAAAGTACACCTTCATCAATCTTGAAATCAGCTTGGAAATCTTCTGCAGACTGCAGCATAATGAACAAGATTCGAATTTTTAACACTAATGGTAAGCCAGTCAGTTCTTCTGTATGTGTCATAAACTTGGAGCTTGCGTCACGAAAGTCATTTCCAGCAAGCGATCGCAGACTTTTATCAACAGCTGCCTTCACTGGTTCCACATTCAAAATTAAATATCCAAGAATAACTAGCAACAAGAAACTCTGAGAACGAACCAAACCACGAACTATTGCTCAATATAGAAGCAAATGGAGATGGTTAGGCACACTCTGAGGAAACCATCGACTGACATCCTGCGCAAGGCTACCACTCGAGTGGAATTCCAATGGGAAACGACGAGTGGGTCGGCAGTACGAGGGTGACACTAAGGAGATCATGCAAGGAGGAGGTCATTCGTGGACCCAGCTAAGGAGAGTAGCAGAAAATAGAACAGAGTGCAGATGTGTATTCCATTCGTAACCCAAAGGGATAATAATATAAAGAAACGTTCATCGGCTTAAAAAGCAGGAAGATAGACTTGACGCCAAAGGAAGTAAACGATTCAGCGTTGCAGAGATATTTGGGTGACGTGAAAAAGAAGACAAAGAAACATAAAGCGAAGGACAGAAGTAGCACACACCACGGAGGATCTGTGCAAATGATGATTTGGAGATAGGGTGTACATAATTTCGCTATTTGAGATACCAAATTGCAAATAAGCATTCCTTTACGAAGTCTCTTGTCTTCTACCGTTACATCAGGTACGCTAACAGTATCTTTAACACAAGCGACTTCTTCTACTAACACTGCAATCCAAATGACTGAAGTAACTAGAGATGTACCAGATAATCAATGAATACATACATATAAAAAGGGTGGTAGAAGAATAACTACACACCAATAATTACGAGCCTGAAATAGTTCAACGCTTTTTTCCTCTTTGCAGTGAAAGCCAGAGTAAAGGCAAGACTGCCTGCGGTCACCTATGTAGAACATTCCTGATGGTGGTGGACTAGATCATGAAACAGACCATGGGGAGCGAGAAGACGGATACCTCGACGAAAAAGTCGTAGAAGATCTGGACTTCATGAATGATTTATGTCTAATGCCTCACAAACTCAACGATCCACATCCGAAAACCAACAAGTTGGCAGAAGAGGCAGTCAACGTGAGAATACCAACAAACACCAATCACTATCATTAGAGAGAATCGACACAAAGTCGTCCCTTTTGTTTACCTGGGCAACATTGTATGAACTACAGATGGTACGGATGAAGATGTCTAGGCCAAGATTAGGAAAGCTAGACATACCTTCATTACTCTGAAATCAGTATGGAAATTTACCGCAATCATCATAAGGAACAACAACATCAATGTCAAGTCACCGTTTCTAAACAGTACACAAACTTGGCGAGCGTGCCAAACAAAAGCATTTCCAGCAGGTTGCAGAATTTCATCAACAGCTACCTTCGCTTCATACTAAAGGTCGTATGGTCTCAGCTGGAAAAGATAAGCACCTTAGATGAGCTCCCCAAATAACCAGAAGACAAGAACCTATCACCCAACAAATATGCAGATGGAGGTGTAGATGGATTGGACATATACTGAAAAGAACGTTGAGGGATATCACGCTCCAGGCCAAAGAGTAGAACCCGAATGGGGATCGATGGATTGGATGTCTCAAGCGTAGCATGGAAGAGATCGTGTGAGGAAGAAATAAAAACTTATAAGCAATCATGCTACCAGCTAAAAAGACAGACTGCAGAGAATATAATGGAATGGAGGTGAGCTAGAGAAGCTCTAAGCTCCACGAGGAATCCAAAAGAAAATATGAGGAATAATAACAGAACTTTTGATCCTTGACACAAACACACACAATGCTGCCGGTATAGCCATCATGACCATTATTACCATGATATGGAGAAAATAAAGTAAAACCATTTTCACAAAAAAAAGAAAAGTCATTATTAGCTTACGTGTATATCGCGGCCACATCTACAACAACATCAATCATATCACAGCATAGTTCATAAGTTTGCATATCCACTACATTAGAATCTGTTGCCAAATAAATCTTACTGGCAACATCGAATAGGAAAGCTTTATCTACCATTGAGTTCTTGAACGAATTGTGAAAGAAGAAAATAGGAGAATCATCATCAAATGTTGAATAATGCAATCATTAAAAAAAAATATACTTAGGAAAACAGTATCTTATTGCTAATGTAAGAGTAAGATTTGGGCACTATTACTATTTACTATTATGGTTTTCCTGGGTTTGGAGTGGAATACAGAGCTTCAACAACACATCTCCACTTTGTTCTATTTTCTGCTATCCTCCTTAGCTGGGTCCGCGAATGACCACAGATTACAATCTCCTCTTTGCATGATCTCCTTAGCGTCACCCTCGCACTGCCGACCAACTCGAGCGACTGACTGTCACAGGATGTCACTCGGCAGTCTCCTCAGCGTATACCCGATCTACCTCCATTTTCTCCTACATATCTGGTGAACGATAGGTTCTTGATTAGTTTGTTCCCAGCGAGAGTTTCTTGTTGCCAATTCTTTCTAGCCCCAGCTATTTGTCCTTCAATACGGAGCCAGCGAAGGTAGGAATGGACCATAAAAGTCTGCAGCGGCCTGTTGGAAATCACTTTAGTGAAACATCCACCAAGTTGCTGACTCATATAGAAGAAATGACTCGCTTGAAATTAGTGTTGGAAATCTGGATCTTGCTTTCTATGCTGAGTGCAGAAGATTTCCAAACCGATTTCAGAGTGATGAAGGGGTATCTAGGCGTTACCGATTCTCGATGGCTTTGACATCTTCATCCGTTCCAACTGCGTGTGGTTGAAACGATGCTTCCCAGATAAGTGAAGCCAGGAAATAACCTCTGTCAAATCTCTCCCGTTTATGGTGATTGATGTTAGTTGTTATTGTCTCTGACTGGTTATCGTATCTAAAATGTTATGATTAGACGTATTTTCAAGATGATGGTGTTCAGGATTAGAGTTTAGTTGAAACATCCTGTCCATCTTTTTGATTTGTCTTTTTCAAGATTGAAGATATAATTATCTTTTAAACTTAAATATGTTGTTAATGACAGTCTTCAATTCTGGTGTAAGCAAGACAGATAAGATTCCATCAATATTGGAAATACACATTCGAAATGATTCCAGGCTTTTGGTTGCTCTATGAACGCGTTCTTGTACGAACGTTCTAGTTGTGGAATCAGCAATTTTAATCGACCTACTGGAGTTGACAGCTATGAAAAAAAACATTCTGTTGCAGAAAATGTATATCCTAAATCCGTAGATGTCAAGTCACCTGACAACTCCAGTAGGTCGATTAAAATTGCTGATTCCACAACTAGAACGTTTGTACGAGAACGCGTTCATAGAGCAACCAAAAGCCTGGAATCATTTCGAATGTGTATTTCCAATATTGATGGAATCTTATCTGTCTTGCTTACACCAGAATTGAAGACTGTCATTAACAACATATTTAAGTTTAAAAGATAATTATATCTTCAATCTTGAAAAAGACAAATCAAAAAGATGGACAGGATGTTTCAACTAAACTCTAATCCTGAACACCATCATTTTGAAAATACGTCTAATCATAACATTTTTAGATACGAACAGAGTGGCGGTTAATCTATCCAAAGATGGGAATTTATCTGGCTATGAACTATCCCTCCTTAAAAAGGGACCTAATTTTAATTTAAATAAAAGGCGTTTATCAACCGTCGTTGAATTGTGCGACAGCCGTCATAAGACACAAAATTGCGGCAGTACTACTAAATCAGAAAGATAGATCGATTGCCATTACAAGAGCAGATAAAGACAGTACCACGGTTGTTATGATCTCTACAGATTATGAAAAGAAGGCTAATGTCTCACCCTATGAAAAATCTAACATGAAAAAGCCAAGGGCGAAATTGAATAAAATGTAGGCTGAAACAAGCAAAATTTTACAGTCAATAATAGAGAAACTCGGTATATCACTCTGGTTTACTCTGGCTCCAAAAGGTTGAAGCCCCTACAAATTTTATGAATTACAAAAAAATACACAAACCAGAAGTTTCATTACGTCCAGTTGTGGATTTTACTAATTCCCCAACCTACAAACTCTCTAAATACATTTATCGAATACTAAGCCCATATGAAATGAAAGTGGAACATGCAGTGAAGAATTCGTATGAATTTAAGGGAAAAATCAACGTGACTCATGTTGAAGAAGATGAAGTAATGGCAAGTTCTGATGTTTATTCATTAGTCACGAATGTTCCCGTTAGTGATTCTTTAAGTATTATTTATAATTGACTTTGTTATGACGACGAACTCAGTGCTTGTTGTCCACACGAAATTATGAAGGCATTGGAACTGTGTCTACGCTCCACATTATTTACATTTAGAGGGATTCTCTACAGCCAAACATAAGGCGTTGCTATGGAATCACCAGTGTCTCCGCTAGTCGCCAATCTGTTTATGCATTTATTAGAGACAAATGTAATTATGAGATGCTCTAGCCCCCCCCCCCCGCAAAAGAATGTGGTTACGATACGTGGATGATACCATCGTCATAACCAGACGCAGCTTGTTGAATAGACTCTTTTATTTAATAAGCAATATGTCAGAAACCATCAAGTTTTCTAAAGAAGTTGAATCCGGCAAGAATGATTTGGCGTTCCTGGACTGTTTAGTAAAAAGAAACCCAGATGGTTAACTTAAAATAAACATTTTCAGAAAGCCAACGAATTCGGACAGATGCCTAGACTACTTTTCAGCACATCCCTTTACCACCAAAGTAACTGTGGCCAAGAATCTGATTAACGGAGCCAAACGTCTAGCTACTGAGGAAAAATAGATCAGCAGGGTAAACTGAAATTGGTTTAATCCACTCTTGAATCAAATAATTACCCCCAAAGCCTTCATAAAAAGATATTTAAAGTGTGAAGATAAAAACGGATCGAAACCTGTTGCTGAGAATTGGGTTAGTACAGCAGTGATTCCTTACCGCAAAAAAACATCCGATGAGATAAAGCGAATCCTTAATGATCATAACATAAGAGTGGATTTTCGTGCAACTAACACCTTACGCTCATCACTGGTGAAGGTTAAGGATAAAATAGAAGACAACCAACAGAATTGTGTGTACCAGATCAATTTTGGGGACTGACACCGTGTATGCAGGAGAAACTCCCAGACCTCTGTAGACTTAAAGAAGCTAGAAATCAGATCAGCGATTGCACTACATTCGATAGAAACGGGATACGAAATCGACTTTGATAGGACTAAGGTTCTATGGAAAGATTTTGGTTCGTATAAAGAAAGACTGACTGCAGAAGCTTTGCATATATGGGTGAGTCCCAACAGTTTGAACAGACATGAAGATGTGATGTTAGTTGATGCATGACAAATTCTGATTAGTAAATAAAAGTGGTCTAAATTCCCGATCGTCTATATCTCCTTATGGAGAAACTAACAAATGTTTTACGACTGTTTACCCATACACACACACCATTGTGTACTGCATATATACATATATATTCTTCGTATTCAGTTATCTACGACCATGAACTTTCAGTCAAACGTGATCACTAAAATTCTGATGAAACACTTAAGTGTTTAACAAAAGTAGACTAATATTTATAAATTAAAACAATTAGTTCCCTTGATAAATTTGAATAAGGCATTTAGAAAACAAATTTCGCGAGATGATATCGTCATTTCGTAGTTTCTTTACAACTGCTTTACAACTAACATGGTTAACAATAATAAAATAAAATAAAGGTCATGACAATTACTCAGTTATATAAAAAACAAAAGTATATACTAATGCAGCTGCGGTGACACCTATATAGGTAGAACCAACAGAATGTTCCAATGTCGTCGGAAAGAACATGTTCCAAAATGGTTACTAAATCATATAGAAAATCCCAGTGCGATTAATCTGAATAGAAATCCAGCATCATCCATTGCAAAACACTTATTAATGTCAGGTCACAAAATCAATATTAATGACTGTTTCACAATTATTTCACATAACTCTAATTCAAGGTTATTGAAGGTGGTGGAAGCACTTTGGATTGATCACATGCAGCCTAAACTGTGTGTACAAAAAGAATAGACTTCAATCTTCGCCTACCATGGATTGACTACTTGACCTATTCAAATATTATTAGGCATTAGTATGTACTTTTGTTTTTTTATTTAACTGAGTAATTGTCATGAACTTTATTTTATTATTGTTAACCATGTTAGTTGTAAAGCAGTTGTAAAGAAACTACGAAATGACGATATCATCTCGCGAAATTTGTCTTCTAAGTGCCTTATTCTAATATTTGTAAGTCTGAGGTCAAGTTTTGATCACAGCTCATACAATTTATTTTGTTTATTATATTTTTATGACTGTTTCAGGACTCATATGATAGGACAAAATTTTTAAGAACAAAAGATATTCTTTTTATATATATATATACACAAATATAATTTTATATATATAACTCTTATGTTAATTTCGTTTAATTTCCCTGAAGAAGTTTGGACCAGTTTACCGAACGAAACGTTGGAATTACTCATTTCAATTTCGCTGCGATTTCACAAATATAGTTGTGATAAATGTCTACTTTCATTCGTGTTTCCTCTTTTTGATACGGTTGTTGAATTTGAGATGTGATGCATTGGTCACCTCACAGCTGGCTTTGTAATATGGCTGTTGAAGTGCTTTAATTATATCTAGGATTTGTGCACTGATAGAATTTAATTACTAATGTGTTGAAACACAAAAACACATAGAATGAAATTAGAAGACGCGAAAAAGTGGGTAATTATCTCCAGCCTTTTGTCAAATACGCCTGTCAGTCTCTTGGTAGAAAATAATCAATAAATTATCTGAATTTGTCAGACTTACATTTGCTACCAACTAATATATTATATATATATATATATATATGTATGTATATATATATATATACATATATATATAATATGCATATATAGTCTAGAAGTATGACATAAGCTTCGCTCCATTTAAGTGCAAAATGTTGTTGGAAGATTGGGAAAATCATCTGCCTGTACTCATCTTCGCAGGTGAAAGATTAAGAGTAGTAGACGAGTTCGTGTATTTGTTTAGTTGTATGAATGTTGGTGATGTGAAAACTCTAGTCGTATAGTGAAGGTCAAGGCACCGTATGCCAACATGAGACACCTCCGATGCCGTCGTGACGTTAAGCTGGTCGTTGTAAGTCGGGTCTGCATTGTGTCAACCAGCACAGTGTTGTACTGCACCTTTGTTTCAAAACATGTTACCTATGGGCTGAGGATGTGCAACAGCTTTGCAGGTTCGACAACCATTGCCTGTAACAGAATTGCTTGCATCCAGTGGCATCGTTTTACAAGTAATTCTAAGGGCCGTCGGCGCGTCTGTACACGATGGATGTCATCTTTTAACAAATGTCGTCACCCCAACGGCTTACCTACCGTTCGATATTTTCTAACCCTGACAAATGGTAAAAAAACGTAGAGGGGTGGTCAGCTCATGATGTAGGGCCTTGAGATAAAGGATAGTTAAGTTAGCATTTTTGGCGTTTCACAACCCTTGGGTGAGTTCAGCGAGATAATTCGAATCAATGATTCAAGATGTCAACAAGTATGACCTGCAATATTCTCTTTCTGAAAAAAACACAAAGGGATGAACGTCCCTTGAATGTTCTTGATCAGTTTACTTAACACTTTTGTAATTCTCTTACTCAATTAATCTGCATCTTTTACATATTTAGTGTGGTGCGCATTTTGTATCGATTTGTTGTTTTAAGAAAAAAGAAAAGTAATAAATAAATATGGAATGACACCGCTTACCGTTATGAATATATTCAATAAGTGCTCGAATGCATCTAAATAGGGAATTAACTTCTGCACCACTTTACTAAAAGCTTCAAAAATTGAATGGTCATATATAGTAGTTAGATGGAATCTGTTAGAATAAAGACAATAAGAAACAAATTCACTATCCAAATGATGTTTCTAAGTCACTTTATGACATTTAATAACCATAATTCAGGGGTGATAAAAATAAATCGAAGTGTGTTAAGATTCTTCATCCGGATTACGACATAACTCTAACTTAGTGAGCTAGGAGATACAAAGATTTGGCTTAGTGGCTCAATCATTCAACTTATAGGCAGTGGGTCCTAGGTTTGAATCCCGCTTTCTCCACTCTGGTCACAGTATTTATGTAGTATTGTGGTGGGAGCTGTCTACAAGCCAAAATTATAGACAACGGTTTACGTCAATGTTTGCGTCCCGAATCGGGGTCATGAGAAAGAACAGCAACAAAGCTTAACCTTGAGGAACTCATCAACCAATCACAGAAGTAATACCAGCGTGTTAAGAAAATCAAAACAAGATTTTTCTGAACGTTTCGCTGTGTAAGCAGATTTAAATCTGCTGAAGAAGCTGTGGCTTACACAGCGAAACGTTCAGAAAAATCTTGTTTTGATTTTCTTAACACGCTGGGATTAATTTAAATAATTTATAATGAATCAATCTGACTCGGCGCTCAAATTATTTCAGGAAGTTCGTAACACCTACGGCCTGGAAACCTACAATCACAGAAGACTTAACGTGTGCAAATACGATTCGCAGATATACGACTTAACTTTCTAAGAAACTGTCACAAGCAGTAGAGAATAGCCTTCGGCAAGAAAACAGCCAATCAGAAACCGTTGCTTCTTTGCTAACAACAACGCCAATAATAATGTACATAAAAATGCATAAATATCTCGTGATTTTCTTAATAAACGATCTGTTACCTAATCCTTGTCTTCTGCCGTTACAGTGTTAACAGCCGTCACAATGTATGTGTGTTGCTTGTAGCTTCGTACTTACAAACTCTGTCCCGGATAGCCATAACTAAGAGCCGTTGACTGAATTTCAGTTCCACAGAAATCTTTGAACACTTCATCGAAATAGTTTGTCCACCAGTGACATGTAACCATAATATACAGTTGACAATGGGCTATTTGTTTCATAAAAGTCATTCAAGTCTACATGAAATTTTTTCTCAATATACCATTGTGATCATCAATACTCAATACCACAAGCATGCTGATCATATATAAAACAATATGATTGGTCACATATAGGACCGCCATCATCAAACTTGCCATTATTATTCCCTTGGGTTTTGAGTGAAACTTAGACCTTCAGCAGTCACCAAACTTAGGTAAAATCAAAATACCATGTGAAACTCTCTCTCTCAGTAAGCATGTAAACGATTCGTACACAGTCTTAGCGATCCTATGCATTCTGCTACCTTGACAAATTTTATAAAATGTAGTACTTCGGTATTTCCACCACAGGGATATATACAACTAACAAACAAAAAATCAATAGGCGAGTAGACGCTCCTACACACATTGAAGATTGAAAAATTATCAACACCTGAACAGGGTAGTTGAAGAACATTCAAGAAACAAGATGATCACGTAAGTAGATAAGAATTCATTTAGCAAGGACAAGGATACATCGAACGAGATGAGCCAAACTGGATGAATTATATCATTTCAAGAAGCTATCAAATTTGGTTAGGAAAAAGGTGGACATTATGATCACCCAAATTCGTTACCAAAGAACTGTATGTGCATTGGTTACTGTCATTTTACACATCTAGAAGCGAGCGAATTTCAAACGAGTGAGGAAATCAAAAACAGATACCTAGATAATGGCTTTAAACTGATCTTCATGGGACTTATTTTGTGTAGTCTTGTAAAGGTAGAAGACGAGAGACTTCGTAAACACGAATGTTTATTTGCAATTTGGTATCCCCACATAGTGAAATTATGTATACCTTATCTCGAAATTACCATTTACACAGATCTTCCGTGTTGTGCCTGCTACTTCTGGTCTTCATATTTTGTTTCTCTGCGTTCCTTTTAAGGCTCCCATGTACCTCCGCAACGCTGTATCATTTGCTTTCACTGACAACAAATTTATCCCCCTGCTATTTGATGTTTTTATACTGATAAACGTCCCTTTATATACTACCGATAAATCTTACCAGTACTACACGCCACAGTCTTCCTCGCTTTCCCATGAAGTAAGGCCACTGTACTACGAAGGACTCAATAGTTTTCCTTATTAATTTGTTTATTGGATATATCACACAGTGAAAGAGTATTATTCACTGGATAACGTTGCTAACACAATTTATTGTTTATTTAACAATATCAAGGTTGAGAATATAAGAGCTTGTTTTCTATGTCCACTGAGTTGTAGTCACACACACACATGCATATATATAGACTATTAAAGTGACCCACATGTGTTTACTGACAGTTTTTGGACAGGTGTACGACAATATAAAAGGCGATACCTATAGTCGACTCGTCGATATCAAACCTCGTAGGTACCTTCAATATGTTTCTCCAACTAATACAGCCTTACACAGCTTCAGCATTAAAATCTCCTGTTTTTATGACCACGTCTAAATGTTTTAATTTGTGCAACCAACTTCTGATAAAATATATCCTTCACTTCAGTTTAACAGTATTTAAATGAAGGGAAAGCAAAGAAGACTAAAAGGCTTTTTTTTTTCTCAAACTTATGCACCCATTTGGCAGAAGAGCACTAGTTAGAATAAGTTAAGACGTGAGTCTTCTGCTCTGTATACTAATGTTGTCACTACACCAGTCGAGCGATCCCCTAACCTTATTTGATTCCACTTCCTAAGAAACGGGAATACTATCACTGGCTTACTCACCATTCAAGAAAAAAACCTTAGTGCTGCAATAATATCTTCTGGTCAGTAGTAAGATCCTTCGGAGCCCACCGAGGTATCAGTAGCCTTCACTATGATGTCGAATATCTGTTCTCCTATCCAACTTTTTAACTTGGTAAAATCTCCACGAACAAGCATTCAATCCACTATAGTTCTTGGAATTACTGCAACATGTACGTCTGCCCAACACACCAGAGTAGTAGCTGTTTGTGTTACTATGCGAGTTCATGGAACGTGGCTGTCAGTCATCATCAGTCACATCAATAGAAATCCATATTATATGGACTGGTAAGAAATAAAGAATTCTTTATATCCGTACTGGTATTTTCCAGACATCGATTCAGATAAGTGAAGAGATCAGTACCACACACCACCCGCTCCCCTCCACTAGCAGCTAAATAATGATCCATGAAAACCAGTCCTTCAAATTTAATCAGCCATTAAAGAAAATATCTCAAACACTTCAACATTGTTCGTTTTTTTCAAGATATTTACATAACGGTGGAATTCTCTTGTATCTTAATCAGTGTCTGCAACCAAGGCATCCTCTTAAAACAATAGACAATACATCTGCATAGTTGCGTACAGCTTTTTATTCTTTATGAAAGTTACAGATATTAAACATCAGGTTAAAAAAATTATCTGTCAGTTATTTACCAACCCATTTGAAATTTATATATTACTCCATAGAGAATTTAATTTGTGTGTAAAACATGTTTACAGAGTTAACAACATCTAATTTAAAGCAAAATAACATTGAAACATATACTTACCCTATACTAATTCCAGCATTTGATGGTTGTTCACAGAGTAGATCTTCTAAGACACCAGTTACACGTTGAGTAATATCACGTTGGATATCCATTTTCTGATCATCTGTTAAACAGTCCACTTTATGGATGAATACTTCGAATTTAATATTCATATTATAACGAAATGCTGATTCTAAAGTGACATGTAGACGAGTTAACGCTTCATGATAATCATCCTATAGATTGAAAGGTGAACACACACACAGAATTTATTCATGTGATACATATATATATACATTACTTAATAATGTATAAACCTTCTTAAAAGAATATAGAAAAGTATTCCACAAGAATCATGTGCACATTAGTGATTGAAAATTAGTCACAGTGTGAGATGGCTGAAACCTCAATTGGTGGATACAGCCAAGTTCAGTCAGCTAAATCGCGCAAACAATAGCAAATGGTATTAAAAGCCTAAATATAACAAATAGTCACTTTCAAGTGTTGGTTTGTAGGGATTTGATTGGTTTCAGGATTTTATCATGAATTGACATCGGTTAGAGGACCATTGGAAAACCAGCAGGGAGTACTTGACAACCGTTTCTGTTGTCCCCGTTCACGAATCTTCAGAAGTTTGCACCTACCGGGATTAGAACCCAAGGCCTTCCGGTTACAAGGCGAGCTCGTAGACCACTAAGCCAATGGGACCCGATCCCAAGGTCAATGAATTCAAGCTTCTGCTAGTGGTCGCGCTATGTAATGAATTGGCAGAAGTTGGAATTCGTGGACCATTGGATCGGGTCCCAGTGGCTTAGTGATCTACGAGCTCGCCTTGTAACCGGAAGGCCTTGGGTTCGATGAAGAGTCCCGAGCTAGGGCGAAACAGCTGTCTAGTACTCCCAGGTTTTCCAATGGTCTTATAACCGATGTCAGTTCATGATGAAATTCTGAAATATTTAGTTTGGTACACAAGTCCGGTCCTTATCGTTTAATAGCTAAAAATTTAGTAAAAAGTGGGACAGGCGGAGGCGACATCTAAGTAACATCACACGCCACACTCTCGAGTGAAACCCGGACAGGAATTCACGAGTTGGGAGTCTAAAGGTGACATGGGGGAGACCTGGTGGATAGACGTTAAGCCAGTCGAAAATGACGGCAGGGAACCGAGTGAAATGGAGTTGTATTGCTCAAGTACTATACTTCACTTGAAATGCTAGGAACGACTAATAATAATAATTAGTAGAAAGTGGTAAACTGAAAACCATAAGTGCATTAGTTATCTTGAATGATTTAAAGACAACAAATGTGTGACGACTATTTATCAAATGAAAAGTGATTGCACTACGAAAAGATGTTACATCTTAGAGTCACAAATTTGTCATATATGTATATACTTGAAGTTAGTGGTTAGTGAATACTAGTATTGGAATTCAAGATATGTGTTTCGTCCTATTTGGGTCTCGTCGGCTGAATGTACCCGCATTCCCAGTGAATGATGGTGTTCCCACTGACACCCGAATCCATAGTTCCAAACGCCAAAGCATTACTCACTAGGCCACGAGGGCCGACATATCAACAGAGAACGAACACTCACGTCCAAAAAAACCAATCAACGGCAAATGCAAAACTAACATGAGGAAAAAAATAACTCTTTACTGTTTATTGTTTGCTTTGTTTTATACCCTTAATCTTATTGTCCAATTTATACTCACATTATTTGAGTCAGTTTGAGTCCCATAACTTCCATAGTTCTTACTTAACATGGGACTGACTGAATAATTGATGCGTTCCATTTATCTCCAAGTCTCTTCTCATAATCCCAGAATATTTGTTTAACTCATGTTTCTGGAAAACAAGTTCACAGGCACCACTTGTCATTTCACATACATTACGTTACACGCGTCGGGTTTTACTTCTGTAACACATTTGAACTCAATCGATGAAGCTATAAAGTTACATAAGTTGAGATGGCTAGGTCACGTGCTGCGCATGCCTAACCATCATCTCCCCCGACGGGCATTACTAGCTGATATAGGTGCAGGTTGGAAAAGAGTAAGTGGTGGCCAAACAAAAATATCGCATCAATCAATCCATGAAATCCTTGACAGTTAAACTGAGTCAGGTAGGGAGATGCAGACTTCCGGGATGGGGCCCTCGGGACTTTAAGAATCAATGGCTGGAGACAATAGGTGACATGGCTCAAAATCGTTGTCAATGGCTTACGCAGATGTATTCAGTCTCTTTAACCTTTCATATTCCTTTCTACCATTACTCATTCTGTTTCACTCTTATACTTGTCAAAACTCTATTGATTCTCTTCTCTCATTTTCGTGTCTACCTTTGTGTGCTATTTGGAACGTGGGAACTCGAACTGCTGCACTTCGGTGCCAAGTTCTATGTTGAATCCAGACAGACAACACATTTGAACACTGTGGTATAATAATACAATTTCACATTAAATAACTTCAATTGATATAATATCAAGCGATACAGTATGAATACTGTAATGTTGTTAATCTGCATTTTGGCATTTGAAATTGTTTCAGGTTCAGTAAAGTAGACAAGAATTGGCAAAATCAGTACGTATTCTACTATCCTACTCAAAATGTTGTTTTTTGTATTCAAGTTAATGAAGAAAGCACCATGTTATTTATCGGAGTTGTTCAAATCCTGCTGCAACTCAGGTTTGCATTTCCCAATTCAATCATCACCGAGTGTCTGTCACCGATTACAAAAGGTATATACATATATACATGATTTAGGATTAATAATGGTTGTTTAGCTTACTTGAGCATCGATAATAAAAATAATAGCACAAGAAGCTAAAAATATCGCCTCAGATTGAAATGTTTCATCACAAAAATCAATGTGACCAGGAAAATCCCAGATTTGAAATTTAATAAAGGAACAATCAGAAACATCTAGAAAGAAAAGTTCGTTAGAAAGTTAAAACAAGAAAAATTAAAGAGTAATTACCATTCTTTTCAATTTTGTGTGTACTTTCTAAGAATAGAGTTTCATTTGGTGCCATTTTATGGAAAACAACTCGCTGAATCGATGACTTTCCGCTTCTATTAAAGTAAAAAAGATAAAATTCAAGCGGACGGAATGTCATTAAACCTTCTTAAACCCATTAATAGGATTTTCGGTTTCTCATCAACTTGACTTAACATAGTTTGTGAAATGGGCAAGCGGCTCCCACCAGCAGTACCACTCTGTGGTAATTCATAATCATAATCTTCTTGATATCCAGTTGGAATATAATTCCCTAATTCTGTATAATTTGATCTACTGGCACCATCACTATTGCCATTATTCATCCTACAATCTAAACAAAAAAAACCAAAAACAAAATTACTTCAACTGTTGGCAAAAATTACTTCTGAATATGACATTTAATAGATTTAATGACTTACATAACACAGAAACATATATCTAGTGAGTACGTTAAAATCAAGTTGCGAATTCGATACTCTTAAGTATAGCTGTTAACACCCTTAGGATACGATCGTTTCCTCTCAACTCACCAACTGACAATTCTGAATTCATACAACTTATGAATATCCTCTGTGCTTAGTACAGTTACAGAAATCCTCTGAATAGGGCAGATTGGGTAAGTATATGACTATGAGCTACACTTATTATTTGACAGCTTCAGAGGGCTGCTTGCTGACGAAATCTCAGCACGGAAAGAAAAGACTTGTGTTGCGTTAACCAACTTCCATAATCTCTGGCATAGACGTGATATCCGGCTATCGTGTGTACTGCTTATCAGTTCACTCGGACTTCTTTTATGGTTATGAGACATGGCCATTGAAAGTGGAAGACATGAAAAGGCTGTGTTACGTATACCTAGCCAGAGCCTTCGTCGACGAGCACTGTTAGCTGACATAGGATCAGGTTGAAAAAGAGGTAGTCGCGGTTAAACGAAAACATGGCATCAGTCCATGATTTTTTCAACAGTTAGTTTGAGCCACGTAGGGAAGTGTTGGCTACCCAGTTGGGGTCCTCAGGATTCTGAGAACCGATGGCTGGAGGCAACTGGTGATATGGTTCAAAATAATTCTCAATAGCGCAGATGCATTCACTCTCTATGATCCTCTGCATCTACTGAACCGTCATGTTTTTCCATGTTACTATCACATTTCTGCTTATAAACGTTCATTCGAATCTCTTTTATCTTCCTGTTTGTGCAACTCGAACTGCTTCACTTCTCCGTGAAGTTCTACGATGAAACCAGTCAGTCTTATTATTTGAGGGCTAATGATAATACTTTTTCACTGAAGTTGGAGTAGATGGAGTAAGGTCCACACCCAGGTTCCACTGACTCAAAGTAAAGTATTTTTCACCGAAAATACCTATTGAGTCATGAAGAAAATAAAAGACAAATTCAGCGAAGAAAATTTTCTTTCTCGATGAAATCATCTTCAGAGGCTGTACAGTCGCATTTATACTTACCAAAAATATATAGTGACCTGTCATTGAGTAATAGGGGGTAACATAATTGATATAATTACTCGGAAGTGGCTTTAGAAGTAAAAATTAAAAGTTGTAAATTACGTGGTACTGAACGGAACAAAGATGTTTCACTGTATGACATATCCAATAAATAAATTAATATGGAAGAAATGATAGTTATATTGACCGCACACTTTCCAAACGCATCTCTGAACATTATCCGGGATGGCTGGCAAAGGGACAGAGCAAGACAATTACTAGTTCAATTCTCGAACACTTGATGAACTCAAGTCATACAACTCCGCCAGAGTTGTCTTTCAAGATCGTCTACAAGGTAAGGCCAAATGGTACAAAGGGCGTCAGGTTTTGGCTTTTGTGTATGGCGGAGGCGCTGGCAATTCGTCAATACAACCCCGAACTCTGTATACAGAAAAAGTATGTCCAGTCTCTTATTCTACTATGGTTTTAACCTCTTCACTAGTCGTTCCGTGTAAAAAAAATTTGATTTTTTCTTTTCCTTTTTTTAATTTTACTTTTAGTTTGCTTTTGCTTTAATAATTACTTCACTGTTATCACTTCCATATGTTTCTTTTGTACATTCTCACGCCCACTTCACACTTGTTAAATTGACGCTCAACCACCTTTATTTTCACTCAATAGCAATTTTAACCTCATCAAATTTCTATCTTTGTGCAGTTGAGTACCACGCAATTTACAACTTTTAATTTTTACTTCTAAAGCCACTTCCGAATAATTATATCAATTATGTCACCCCCTATTACTCAATGACAGGTCACTATATATTTTTGGTAAGTATAAATGCGACTGTACAGCCTCTGAAGATGATTTCATCGAGAAAGAAAATTTTCTTCGCTAAAGTATTTTTATTTATTGAAAAATACAAACCTGTTGTTGTATGACCAGCAAGAAATGCACCACATTAAATAATGAAACAATATAAAGGAGAGACGAATAAACTGGTCGAGGACCTACCGACGAAAAACGCGCATATATATTTACCAGGGTCATTTAAAACAATGCTGATTTATACTAAGAAATAGTAGGAAGGGAACTGCAACACTCCCCTCGTTGATCTTAATACTGGACCCTATGTGATGTCTCCGGCAACGAAGGTGCATGATCACTCGGAGACCACCAGGGAATCGTAATGTACTACTAGATGAAACCACACTACAACTATCCTTCAATTTACGACACCAAACAATGAGGAGTGACTAGATCCCGATTTCTTCGAGCTAGTCCCAGTGGCCATCAAAAGTTTGACGATCTAAAGCCTCTAGGATGACATTCCTAAAGCATGTTCAACTTACAGAAAGCTGTCCCAATATGACCACTTATAAAAAACAGTATCCACCATCTCTGAATACACGAGGAGATGCAACACATCTTCAGCTTGGAGGGGCTAAGACTCACTGACGGAGTTCGAGGCAGCACGTACCTACGTTCGTCAGACAAGAAACGCGATGGTACTAGGTATGACAACACAGGATCTCTGAATAAGTACACATGAAACATACTTCTAAATCTGATATGTAGTGACCTAAATTCTGATCCGCACAGCCGCGGCCTCGTAGTTTCTGGTGTCCCAAGAAGGTTCATTTACACTTTTGAATTCTTGAGTCTAATTGCACTACAGATTTGGAATTAAGGCTTTCAAACACCCTAGGTAAAACCTCAATGTATATTAGTCCAGTGGTGAGGACTTCAATTTCTTATTCGCTCCTTCGCCGTTTCATAAGAACATCTCTTCCTGAAAGACAGATGTCAGTAGGCTATGAGACCCACACTTTTCGCTACCGGTCATTTAAGGGAGGTGCAGAATGTGCTAATGCCGATTAACTACATCTTCATTTGTGCGCAGAAAAGACATTCCGCAATCGTATAATGAGAAAACGAATAAATGAATAAAGAAATATATATTACTCAAGTAATAACTCTGAGCACTGATTAAGAAGTTGTTGCCTCACACTAGATGGTAACAACTGAGTATCCGTCAGTGAAATTATTTGAATATCTTTGACAAAGCTTACATATATCAACATTTTTCAACTGTTTACGAATAAACGCTGGATACCTATTTTGCTACTAATAAAAATACAAACAAAATCAGTTGGTTCGTCGACATTTCTATATTCTGACATTCATTCAATTGAAATTGAGTAGGATCACAAATAAACACTATCCCAACAGAGTAATAAATCTATAAATGAACACCACTCCTACTAATGATCGCATGTTTTCTATACTGCCCTTCAACCCTTCTTTCGAAAAATTAACGTCGTCTATGAAATATACTTCACCACTTGGTTTACGAAATTAAACAGACAAAACTACAGATCTCAGAAAACATGCTTCATGTTTCGAATCACTTGGCGTTTGATGAGTGATACTGAAAATGGCATATGGATTGAAATAATCGCATGCAAGACATTGCTACTATGTCACTTAAATTCTAAGGCAACTAGATGGTGTAAACTAACAATGACGTAAATTTTAGAATCTGCACACAAATCAAAAAGGTAAGGCTGGAATACTGATCGACCTATTTCAATAAGTAAAACAGGACTGTTAAAAAACACCTAGTACCACTATAAAATAACTGTTTTAAAATATTCGTCACGTGCCTTGATATTAGGAAATGCATTTTCACCGATAAAGCAAATTGTTGGACAAAACATAACTTTGAAACAGCTTAGTGAATCTAAATATAAGTCTATAATGATCTGTTAACTTCTTAGTGCGCCTATTTCATCGGCTCCCGAAAAGTAGGTTACTCAGCGCCACAAATAAGTTTTCGCAATTTTCACATGCGTTGCTAAATTCTGAAATGGACTGTACAAGGGTTAGCACCCCAACGACAATACATAACGCTTTCGGTGTCGAAAACAAAGTATATGTCGTTCTAAATTTTTAGATCAAATACTGATTGCATCTTTTTTGACGTGGTCGTTTAGCGTTCCTGTTCTGTAAAAAGAAGGCCTTTAGCAACAGCTATCTTCTCTGTGCTCTTTATACTGCCCAAAGAATAAAAGGCCATTTATTTCGAACTCACCAATGGCATTGACAAATTAAACAGATTTGCATCATGATTACTGATATTGCATATGGAGACACTAGGAACAAAAATGATTACTTCTAACCTTGTTGCCAACTGAATACCAAATTTAATGAGTTGTAGTGCATAATTAAGCCATAGGGGACTCGCTGCTTCTAGACAGAGAGGAACAATGCAAAGTAAGACTGGTGAAAAGAACTGTACACCAAGCATACTGACCACAACTCTATATTTCATGAGCACTTCTCTTGTAAAAGCTGTCATTAGTTTAGATAGTTATGGGATAGACAATCACGTGGGTCGCACTACTTCAGCTGCTCGCTTAGACTCGATAAATGTTTTTGATATGTAGCGTAGCAATCTATTTTTGTGAAATCTAACAATAACAACCTCGGTGGTGATATGCAAAGTGCTATGTTTGCAGAGCTACACCATGATCTAGAAAGGATCCAAATTTGTGCACTTTAAGAGAGCCTCTGTCAGTTTTTATTCGGAACATTTCTCCATGCCAAACAATAAGTACAAAGGTTGAAATATATAAGGTTTGAAATAGTTTTATCAATATGCTATGCCACACTCGGTAACATGCGATCACAAAAGAAATCAAATTGGTTTACACTAGCACGTAAAAAACGATACTGGATGCTCAAGATTCGAAAGAGAAGGATCTAGACTTATGCCAACAAAGTAATGGGGTTTACATGTAAACATGTTTGAACGAAACACAAGCAAAATTAACATATTTCGGTATGGTGTTTATCGTGCACTGAATATGACCACTTAAAATTAGTCCTTAAACAAAAATCACACAGATCGATAATATATACTTTGATACAATGAAGAAGGTAATCAGAGGCAACACTATGTACTGTAGCTGACAAAAAGGTGGATACATAACAAGCACATAGTGGATCCTGTAGTGAAGCATCCTGAGATCAGATGTTCAGCTACAAAAATACGTTGTTCACACTACCAAAACACTAAATAACTTTAAGGATCATAAATGAGCTTGAACAAAACACACAGGAAAGCCAAATATATGATTTCGAAGTGTCAATGAAGTACTACATTCATAGGTTTATTATTAGACAACAATCACTTCCCCACCATAAGCTTTCCTATGAAGGCTTACATGAAACATTGTTTGAACACCAAGCAGTAAATAATATTCTGATATAATATGCAACACTATATTACCTCAGATATAAGGAAGTACGGAATTAATCACAATCCCCCAAAAATTCCAAAGGTAGCGTAAATACGGAAAAATGCGCTGCTTTCGACTTCAGATTAGCAGCCTTTCGGCAGTGGATCAAAAAGATTCAGACTTATTGGTTGAGGATAGAAGGCTTGTAGCCTATCTCAATCCTTTTCTAGTAAATTTCTGTGCTTTTCAAAACCCTTCCTGAATGAATCAATTGAGGTTGCAGACACCACTTCTTCTGGGAGTCAATTCCAAGAGTTTATGACTCGATGTGAGAACCTGTACTCAACACCAATATGATTTCTTCTTGGCTTTTGAACTCTCCTGCTATGTCCTCTAAGGTGTTTTGACCTGGTGGGAAGGAAAAGAGAGAATAGGTCAGGTCCGTAGTCATTATTTAAAATTTTAAACATTGTGATTAAATCTCCTCTCTGTCTGCGGTATGACAGAGAGAACAGATTTTAACTGTCTAGTCTTTCATCCTATGATAAATTGGTCATGCCGAGAACCGTACGTGTTGCCTTCCTTTGAACCCCTTCTAGAATGTGTGAGTCCCCTTTTAGACAAGGACTGGCTGCCTGTATACAGTTTTCCAGTCTTGACCTCACCATAGATGTATACAAGGAGGTGGAAATATCTCTGGTGATTCTAGTAGAGTCTCTGCGAATTGCCCGCAAGCATCTGAAACCATGTGCAGCCACCGCATGAAAGCGTGCTGTAGTTTTTAAATCGTGGATAACTACGACACCTAAATCCAAATGAGTCTGAACTGATGAGTGTTGTTCCCTCAAGTTCGTAGGAGCTGATCCTTGTGTGTCCAGTGTGCATTGTTGCACATTTCACAACATTGATCGGGCGCATCCATTCTCTGGACCACTCTGACAATTTGTTGAGGTGCTATTTCAACTTGAGCGTATCACTGTCACCCTTCAGCTCTCTCCAAATTTTTAAGTCATCTGCATCTAGGAACATAGGGGAATCAGTGAGCAGAGATAACTCATCGATAAATGAAATAAAAAGGACATGTCGGAGTACCGTGCCTTGTGGCACTCCTTTACCCACTTTTGTCCAGGAGGGGAGTTTCGAGTTGATCCTTACCTTCTGCCTTCTATATATGAGGAACTCCCTAAGCCAGTATTGTAACCTACCTTTGATACCAAAACCTTCCAGCTTCATGAGTAGTCTTTTGTGAGGTACTTAATCGAAGGCTTTGCTGAAGTCTATCAAGACGAAGTCAACAGATCTTCTGTTGTCCCTTGACTTGACCCATCTTTCAAATGCGATGAGATGGTTTGACAGGCATGAGAGATTTTCTCGTAAGCCATGGTGAGCTGTAGATAAAAAATTGTATTTTTCCAGTTACGCCATGATACTTTTCTTGAAGATTCTTTCCAGTGACTTGATTAAAGTGCTGGTGAGACCAGTAGGCCTGTAATTTGAAGGGCTTTGTCTTGATCCTCCTTTGTGGATGGAAGTTACTATGGCGTCTTTCCAGTCAAGCAGTGACGCACCATTTAGGAGGGATAACTTGAAGATTGTGGTCAATGGGCGAGCTATGTGAGCTGATGGCTGCTTGAGAAGCCTTGGATGAAGATTATCAGGAATCGCTGATCTCCTTGCATCTGGTTTCACTAAGCAGTTGAGCACAATTTCTTGGTTGATGTCAACGGAATCTATCCCGTATTCCTCTGATGCAGCCAGAGCTGATCCTATAGGCAGTGATGACTCCTGTGTAAAGACTTCGGAGAAGTAGTCTGCCACTGCTTCTGCTTTTTCTTGATCCTCTTCGATTGTGTCATTGTCAATAGTCAGTCTTGGGACTTTAATGGATGTCTTATCCCTGAAGTTCATGTACGAGGAAATTTTCTGAAGTTGTGCTGCTGCATTTTAAGCCAGATTTGCCCCGAACTTCATCTTTGATTAATGGATTTCTGTGAGAGCTTTGTTCCTGGCGGTGTTGTATAATTTTCTGGTCTCAGTAGTCTCAGGTTTGGTAAACAGGTTCCAACATTTATGTTTACGTCTGTTTAAATTACGAATCTCTCGGTTTATCCGAGGATGGTAGTGTTTCCGATCCTTTGCGACAGACCACGGGATGAAAGGTCCAGGTACCTAGGTATATAGTTGTTTGAGCTGGTTATATGTGGCTTCTACTTGGGACTCTGCGTTGATGTACCAGTTCGCTAAGTTGGCTGGTGAGACGATCGTATTTATATCAGCTTTCCAAATGTTTGGTCGAGCCGGGGTTTTGGCCCATGATATTGCTGCTGTGAACTTGAAAGTGAGCATAGCTTGATCACTTCTCCCAAAAAGGGGAAGACGTTGCATGAGATCCACATCCTCACCATAGGAGAAGACTAGGTTCGGGGTTGAACAGAAGTGCTGTGAGCTTAATCACATGTTGGATTAGGGCTAGCAGTTTGTGATTAAGGGAGTTGTCTGAAGATAGCGTAAGGCTTGTCCAGACAACTGTTGGGGAGTGGAAGTCGCCGTCTACGAAACTTCGCGAGATTCACTTTTGTGAGCAAGTGCTTCGATGACACACACGGTTAAGCATTTCTTGAGGTATATGGCTACGCCACTTCCCTTGTGACTTTGTAGATCCACCCTATACACTCCGAAGTTTGGCAGCATAACTTCGTTATCAGTGACATCGGGTGTCAACCATGTCTCTATGATGGTAATTTCATCCGGATTTCGTAAGTCTATCATATTGCCCAGCTCACTCCTTTTGTTGAAAAGACTGCGAGCGTTTGTGTAGTTAACCGCCGATTCACTTTGGTGCTTCCGCGGTCTACCCACAGAGGTCTCAAACCTCGAATTTCGACAACCTGAAAACTTTTAATGTAAAGGTTTTCCTCACCATTCGCTTAATCCTATAGCACCAGATTGTCTTTTGACGCGGTTTCCTAGGCATAAGTCGGCACGGGCGTATACGCCTGATTCTTTTAGAGTTTGAGAGCTACTTCGTGTGGCATTGCTCTCTTCCTTTGAGTTTAGTACGACTTTGAGAACGCTTACTGGCTGATTTACTGCAGAGTCAGCCTTTTGGACGATTCTATAGAAGCTGTGTACAGTTACATCTAAAATTGTTGTTAGCAGGACATTAACTAGAAGGGGCATAACCAGGTTAAGTCATGCTCGAACCTGACCTTGGGATCGGAAGCTGGTGATTATTCCACTCTGCAGAGAATGAGCGACCCTTCGGAGAGATCGGGTTTGCTTGTGGTTACTTTCTTGCTCTGCGGTGTAAGTGTCTTTCCGCCCTTCGTGGGCAGTGTCGCCTTTATGGTGTCCTTATGTCGCCTTTCGCGGGAGACTACGTCAAGCCATTCATTGGCGCCCTCTTCGCTGTGTGGTCGATTGTGTCTGCCTGTTATTCACGTGTGTGGGTTAGGCTCGATCTACAAGTCTTTGGGCGAATTCAGCTGCGGCTTATCAATCGCTGCTACGCCTTTTCCTTCTTACAGCCTTGGCGATAGGGTTTATTTGTACCTTGATTATGGGAAACTGCATTCTTTCTTTTTAATAACACGAGAGTTAAACTTGCCTGACTTTGTGGTGGCTGTCTGGGACTAGACCAACGCGAAAACTTCAATGTGACAAAGACTACATTTTTCCTAACGATCCATAAGAACCATGCGAATTGTTAGTGATAAAAGAATTTGGAAATCTTCAAACGGACTTAATCATATTCAAGACACCTAGAATTCCGAATAAGGCAAGTGATTCAAAAGCGAATCCTCCAGTGCAGAAAACGCGATTAGATTTACTGGCTTTTTATTCGGATCCTATCATGGGTGTGTGATATCTTGCATCTTTTGTTTTGAACTGTTGACAGCCTCATATCATGTTGTGATGGACTGGGAACCCGCTATGCAAATTGGAAACCTTCGCATGGAGTGCATTAATCTTAAGCATTTAGAAAGGTTTATAGATAACTGTGGTTTAATTACTTCTCTAGATTGAAGACTGACTCCAGCCGAAGGACGACATTTATAATTGAATGCGAATGTTTTTCCGAAATGCTGCATCTATAAGTTAACATCTGTAGTTGAGCGACGAATTCTTTGATATTCCATCCAAAAGCTCAGAGACGTTTTCTGAACAGGGATCCTCTCGTTTTCGAATCAAGTAACATGTAATAGAGTTGCCAGAAGTGTTCGTAGTCTCTCTTTCGAAGAAATTAGTCCTTTTGGAAACGCCAATCTTCAATAGAATCTACGTTTCTGGTCCTACCACATTAATATAATGAACTGAAGTTTTGTCCTGTCGAGGATTATTAACCAAATGCAACGCTACTAATCATCCTAAATACTCTGCAATTTCAGGGGATGAACCATAGAGGGAAGACAGTTTAGTGATATTGAATTCCATAGCGATGCCGAAATGCGTTGTTTGTAGCTGTAGCTTGTGGTGACAAAATAAATGCAAACCAGAAAACTGCACAGGGAATCAAGAGGTCAGAAATTCGCAGCCGATGGACTTTCTCTATTCTGTATCCACAGTATGTACAGAAAGAGCAGACTTATTCAGTACAGGAACAGAAATGCTCAACTGTCACTCCCATTAAATGTTATTCTCTTTGTTTATGATGAACTGCAGGTGTAACCGCAAGTCTCTTTATTCCTCCGACTGATTCTGCGCTTGTACTTTAACCAGAAAACCAATGGCATAACTAGAATCACAAAGAAGTAAGTGTAATTATATTTGGAAAGACTCACTTTATTAATTTCACCTGTCCATTGTGGTCGGAGTCAGCTTTGAGATCCTAGTGATGAAATATTACTTACAAGCCAAAGTGTGCATTACAAGATATAAATGTCAAAAAATTACCGTGTATAATCATAGGAAGTGAAACTTTGGCCATCCGAATACTCTATCATATCTCGTGATTGGTGCTGGAATTAAGGCTGTGAAAAACACAAGTCGAGAAACAGAGTTTCCTTTGTGCTTATGAGAGATGGTCTTTGGGCTTACTGAGTCACATAACAGTCGGGACTCGGTGGTTTTGGTAGAGCACAGATAACCAATCAATACACTAGGTCACTACGATTCATATAACTCGCTGCATTTATC